CGGTGCAGCTGCAATGAAATTCAAGTTTGAGCTTGTAGCAAAAAGAAAAGTCAAAACATTTTTAATTGCAAAATATTTAGAAAGTGCAAATGTTCTCAGGTGAAAACATTTCCTGTAACAACAGCTCACACCTGTCTTGTCAGAGACTCTGCTTTATCAGATTTAGAGCCATCTTGAGTTTCTGGTCAGAGCAGCTGCTAAAATGAAACATTTGAGCTGATTGAAGCAACAAATTCTGTTTTTATTTTCGCAAAATGGCATTCATCAAATCGGTGAGAGAAAAATAAAACACATGTCTATGCAGCGCTGGAGCTCCGCCCACAATCCCATGTAAAATCTGTCTTTATGAGTCTTCATTTTTCACCACCCAATGCAGAGATGCTTTCACTGATGTACAGATGTTTGTCCAGCACCAGCTGAGCGTATAGAAACATCGTTTGGCTCATGGCTGGTGGTGATGAGGAGGACGATGTTTAGGAAGAGGAGGAAGACGGCGATGATGACGGCTGCTCGGTGTCGGTCCGCTTCAAAGGAAGCTCCTCATCATCTGGTCAGTGATTAGAGAGGCAGAAATTAGGACTCAAAGCCAAATATTTAGCCAGTTATTTGTGACGTAGTCTCAGTGAGGAAATTATTTTAATCCTGACAGGAAGTCAGAGGACAACCATCGTTTCTCACAGTTATGATTGTAACTTATTTCTTTATAGATCTTTAAGATAATTTCAGATTATTCTAATAAATTCTCCTTTAATCTACAAAGTTCTTATGAACAAATGATTAATAAAGTGAAATAACACGTTACTCTTCAGTTGTTTCTTCCTTTTCCTTTTAACTCGGACACAGCACTCAGTAACGGTGACGGTCAGCAGAAGAACAAAAACTAGAAACATTATAGCACAAGTGTTATTTTTAGGGCCAAATCAACACAGAAATGGTTCAACGAACAAACAAAGCAAAAAAAACCCCAAAAAACTTTCCTTCATGACCAACATCGTCTTGATACATTAAGCTTCAACAAATCTGTACAAATTAATTAGATTTTGCATTTGAAGTCTATATTTTTAGTATTTCTCAGTGTAACATTATCCTGCTTCGATGAAAATAACTAAATAAATAATTAAATGAATATGAATTCAGCTTTTACATATCTTCACAAGATGTGCAGCATCTCTACAATGTAGTGCAGTAACTTAGTAACTGATGTTAAAGGAATCTGAAAACGTACCTCCTCCACCACCTATAAAAACACAGATACTTATTCCCCACAATTCATCTGGGAGACCTGGGACACCTGGGACACCTTCAAAAACAAAAGAGAAAACAAAAGTTCTTCTGATGACCAGCAATAAAAAACATTTTTTCTATAGACATTATTTACTACTGAGCACTTCTAATCTACACAACCTGTAGTGAAAAAAAAATCTGTTCTTCATTTTGTTTTAGGTAGTAGTTATTAGCTGGAGCACATTGAGTAACAGTAGCTTTTAGCCATGGTAACCAAAACATACTTACTTGTAGCACAATCATGAGTGACAGGATCACTGACTTCAAAACTGACTTCATTGGAAACGTTGCAAGCAAATTTGATGTCTTTAGTTTCTGCAGCTGTCAATGTAAAAGCCGAGTCCGTTTTCTTTATCTGAGCATTGTTCTGAAGCCATTCGTACTTTTTGATTTCATTCTTGGATGTCTAAAGGAAAATAAGAATCAAAGACTGATTGGAAAGTTCAAGAAAAAAGCTCAAGAAAAACATAGAAAAAATAGAGTGGGACTGTTCAGAACAATATAAAATGACATAATTTTTTTTTAAAGTCACACAACAGACATTTAACGCAAATCTCAAAGGATCAAAATGCATCATATCTTAATAGTATGCGGTTGCTTTCACTTTGACAGGGCCATATGAGAAGGAAAGAGCTGGTTTAGCAGATCATTTATGATTGAAAAACTGGAAGAGGACATGTGAATAAGAACTTTAGAAAACAGAGTTAGCATTTAGTCTTTTTGGATTTTTAAAGAGGCAAAACAAGAACTTACCTTATCAGGAATGCATTTAAACATCACGTTTGCTTCTTTACATGTTGCTTCCACTTTAGGCTTCTTCACAGGATCTGAGAAGGTTTTATTGGGCCAAAAATACCAGATGTTATTGAGGGAATATGAAAGATATTACAAAGAAACCGGTGAGCTGCTGAAGTTCTGTTCATGTTTAAGCTCTTCCAGTGGATCAAAACAATAAACTCAGTTTCATAAGAAGACATCAACTTAATTCTTAATATTTTGACATTTTCAATGAGGAAATTAAAAAGAAGATCCCTTAGGGGCTGTCAAATATAAATAGTAATGTTTAGTGAACTATAAAAACACATGCAATATTTTGTACCTACCTTGTATACATAAGTGTGTTGTCTTTATGTGCTGTTCTTTTCCATTGCTATCGTGAACCTCAGAGGTGTAAAATCCTTCTTGGTCCTTCTTCAGATTAATCAGTTTGAGGGATCCATCATCATTAATGCCATAATTGTTATTGTTACAAGTAAGTTTCTCTGTTGTTGATTTTACAATACATATTACAGCGTCATTAAACTTCCACTTCAGCTTATCAGTCGGTTTCTTTGTGTATCCCAGACGAACACTGAAGCTTCGACCCGTTGCAGCATAGTCGTCACAAACTTTGGATCAGAAAGAAAAGGAAGCAGAAGAAGAGCAGGGTTAAGAGAAGATGGAGACTTTATGGACAACAGACAACAATGACCTCATGGCCTTCTAAGCCTGAAAGAGAGGTTGCTGGAGCTTTTTTTTTAATGACTGAATGCAGGTAGTCTTTGAGAATAACCATGAGAATCCAGACCCATTCCAGAACCTGGTTCTATCACCAGAATACAATAATCTCTTTCTGCCTCATTGTTTGGTGTTACCTATTTATTACAGCTCTGTGGCAAGTCTATAGGTCTAAGTTCTTGTTAACATACATTCAAGCTTGCCCGTTTTAAACGAAAAAGGTTCTGAAGGTGTCAATACTTTTCTGATGCACAGGGTGGAGAAAATGGAGCTACACTAATATTTCTTGCACTCCCTTCATTTAGTGTTTACCTGGGATTCAAAGCCCTCGAGTCAAAATGAAACTCTGCAGCTTTCTGCATTGAATCTTTTGTTTCAGCGTCTCGCCGCTGTTGGATGATGTGTCTTGCAACCTGTTTTCTCTGCCCTGACCACAGAAACTGAGCGGCACACACTCCCAGTGTGCTTTAGTCTTTTATGAAATATTACGGTGTCATCAAATTTCCACTTAAGAGTGTCAAAAGATTTTCCTTTGTTATCCAGAGGAGCGTTGAAGCTTCCGCCCACAGCAACAAACTTATCACAACTTTTGGATCAGAAAGAATAGAGAGAAAATGCAGGCTTCCTAGAAGATGGACGTTTTAAAGATGGCAGACATGAATCACCTTGTAGTCCACCAATACACAACACACAAAAACAACTCAATGCAGTCAGTTCTACACTAGAAAAGTCTTAATAGAGGTAAATGTTGGATCAAATTTCCATTAAAGTCTAAAAATACACACAAGTCAGATTAATTATAGGAGCATGGACGAAGTTTACACACAAAAGTCGGAATATGAACTACTTAGTATAAAAACTACTTTTAAAGTCAAAACATTTTCTATTATGGAAGCTTTGATCATTTGAATGAATAAAATTTACAGAACAGATTTGGTACCTTGGGAGGCGACGGCGGAGCAGCAGAGCAGAAACACACCCACCACGGAGGCCGATGCCATCTTCATCGTCCTCCTCCTCACATTCGACTGAAAAGAACAACTTGTCATCATCAAGGACATTTCCTGCCGCAACAATTTTACATGCACCAGCTCTAGGTTTTGAGCGGAAGCGGTCCTCAACGCCACAATTTGAAAGCAGTAAAAACAAACAGAGCGGCACCAAAAATTACAGTCCAACAGGCTAATAATGAGATCATCTTCTCAACAGAATAAAAATTGTCAGAAAGGTAAGTCTGTTTATTTCAAACTGCTGTCAATCTGCACTCAGAACTCATTAGAAAAGCTGGTAACACTTCAAAACACGACTTTAGGTCTATTTCCATTGCCTGTTTCTAACCACTTCCTGTGGGGTGACATAAATTCTTCCCTCGGTGCAAAAGATTAAAACAAAAAACATTTCAATCATCCTCCTCATTAACCACTTAGTGGTTGCAATTCGATTAAGGTTTTGGAAAAGAAAAGCCTATTTTATGGTAAAATAAACATTGAGAAAAAGTGAAAAGTTTTGTGGTTTTCACGCCTTAAAACTGATTGTCCGAAATGTGCAAGTGACAAAGAAATTGGTGCAAAAATAACCAGGCTATTTCCTAGAAGATAAAAAACTGCTAACAATGTCAAGGAGGTGAACAACTTCTAGAGATTAGCATGAGTAGAGATGGTTACAGAGTCATCGGCCGCAGGGAGGAAGGATCTCCGATAATGCTGCCTTGTAAAATATCAGATTGGTCAGTGGTCAGAAAAAACCCTGCAAACAGATTTTCTTTTTTCTATCTCAGTTGCAACCCTCTATAGCTCTGCTTTTGCTTTTCATGGAAAATCATGATATTTAGGTAAAACTTAAACCTCCTAGTCAGCACTGATTCCCTGTTTCTCAATCCTTCTGAAATGTCAAAACATTTTCTGAACTGAAGCAGACTTTGCTGCTCTCTAGCTGCTCATAGCAAAACGGGAGCACTTTCATATTTTTATTAAATGCAATCAGTTGGAGGGTTTTCGACAGCATTTGAAGGAATGACAAGTTTACTTTTTTTATTATTTATTGAGACACAACAAGGCAACAACAAAAATCGCCAAAGAAAGAAACACATAGACCTCAGTTCATCATCGTCGTGAAACTAGTTTGAATCATTATGAATAAAAACTGATTATTTCACATGGAGGGATAAACATACAAAGTGCTTATTTACACCAAGTTTGATGGCCAAAGTTTGCAATTAAAAAAGAAAATCGACATTTATGTTTAAATTAATTAAACATATTTCTGACACAAAAATGTTATGACTTTAAAAAAATGATAAAAAAAAGACTGCTGACTGAAATATATGTATAGTTTGAACGCAGAGATTTACATATGATTATAAAAGACGTTCCACTTTGCTAAATGCCATAAAAATAAGAGAGAATTTTAAAGTTATCTTTGAATTAATAAGTGTTTCACCAGCTCTGTCAGGAGTCAAAAGTTCAGCAAACTACAGGAAACGTTTGACTCAAATCATACAGATTAAAAAGTAACTCCATAAAATATCA